GCTGAAAATAATCCATTAATAGAGTGAGGATATCAAGATACAGTGATAAAGGCATTTTCAAATTAGTTACATTTCCAAATGGCTGTGAAAAGGGGATAAAGCTTCTGAAACATCTGATGGACTGAAGCTTGTGGTCTGGCTGGGTACTGGGGAGATTTTGGGGAGCTGCTGCCTCCAGCTGTCCGGCTCCCCTGTCCGCAGTGGATCTCCGTAGCAGCACCTGCATCCCCTCCTCGCCAGCGGTTTGTGCCTGGTTATATTAATATCAGCTGAAGTTGAGGGTGGATTAAAGGGTTGAGCCAGACTCTGAACAGCAACAGCTGAGAAGGAGACTTTCTCCTTTGCTGCCTCTGTTGTCGGGCTGGTTACATCCACCAGACAGGCAGGGTAGACATCTGGGGGAGGTAACCTCCTACGCTGGCTGATCACAAATCTCCATGAGTCAAAGCCCTTTGTCTCATCTCTTCCTTTGTTTATTCTCAATTAATCCTGTGCACCTTACAGCCTTTATTCCTGAGCCATGACCTGCACTGCTGTCTGTGAGTCAGGGAAGTCAGAGTTTCCCCTTTTGCTCATCTAAAATGAAGAGAACAGCTATGATCTAGCAGTTGTTCAAGATCCCTGCCCAAGAGCAAGGAGCACAACTTGGAGGTGGGGTGTGGAAGTGTCCTTGGCCAGAAGACTGCTTTGTTCCATGAGCAGTGGAACTGATGAAGCCTGGTTTTCTGTTAGATGCCCTTCACTGCATCCATTTTCCTTGCTGTCTGTGTCCACGGTGTGCACTGCAGTCCTACAGTATGGCCTTGGTTCTTCACTGCTCTACCTTGAAGTTGTAGTTTTAAAGCATTTGAAGGCAGTACCACTAAAAGCAGCAGTCCTGTCTGATGCAGACTACTCCTCCCTTCCCCTCCTGCTGGTACTGGCAGTGCAATGAAACCTGCTGGGAAATTGATCTGGATTAAAACTAGCATTTATCTTTTCTTTGTTAACTTTATCCCAGAAAAGTCTCCCCAGTCCACTTTACTTTGTAGCCCAATAGATTGAGGGATTGGACTGGATGATCTTTCGAGGTCCCTTCCAATCTCTGACATTCTGTGTAACATTCTGTGATTCTTATACTGGCTTGATGGAGAAGACAGGAAAGCGTATCTGGGAACAATGATAAAATAGAATTACTTGACAGCTTTTACCTGCTTTGTAAGGAAACTACAGTATCAATATCATTGCATGTCCCTCCCACCATCCCCTGGCAACTCCCCTGTCTGCTGCCCCTTGATACTGACTCGCTGACTGTTGCCAGCCTGGGCAGGCAGGAGCTGGGAGCTCTTCATCCCTCCCCTGATTGGGGATGGAAGGTCACCTTCTGCTGCCCAGCCAGCCATTTTTTTTTTGCAGAGCTCATAAGAACTTGGAGACATCTATCCTTAGTCTGTTCTGGTTGGATCTCAAACCCTCACCCTGCAGGGATGATAAAGGGGCTGATGCAGGAGAACAGAGGATGAGGAAGAAGAAATGAAGTTCTCATAAACTTTTTTGTGAGGAAATAGCTGCTGAGGGAAACTCTGATCCTGACCTGAATATGGCAGTTCATGCGATGAAGGAAACAAATGTAGGCTGGTGTAACAGAAGGATGACATCTTAAATACAAACCAAGAGTGATTGTTTTTTCACTGTACTAAATGCAAGAGTTTTACTACATCTGAAAATTAGAACTTTGGGGTTTTAATTGCAATCTTTACTTAGAGACTTAAATTTCAGAATTTTTATGATTTTAGACTTTAAATGTAGTTACCACTTGTAGGTTCACAGGTTCTAGTATTTAAAAAAAATGAGAAAGCCACCCTGCTTTTTCTAATTGACATCATCAGAGTCAAAAAGTTGGCACTTAGCACAATCAAGCCCCCAGAGAGTACGTATTTAATGAATTGCCTCCTTTGAATAGTTGGATCTACTTATAAGAATTACACATGTTTTTGTTCCAGATCACTCTGTTTCCCAACCAATTATGGTTCAGAGAAGACCTGGTCAGGGGTTTCATGTGAATAGTGAAGTCAACTCAGTGCTTTCACCACGGTCAGAGAGTGGAGGACTTGGAGTTAGCATGGTGGAGTATGTGTTGAGCTCATCTCCTGGAGATTCCTGCCTAAGGAAAGGAGGATTTGTAAGTGTGCCTGATTCTGACATTTGAGTTCCCATTCTGTTATTTTCTCCATTTGCTGCTTGGTTTCTTTGTTTGTTAATCCATTCCTAAAGGCAGATGTTTCTTCTATTTGCTCTTAGTTCAGCTCTCTTTCTTAAAATGAGCCAGCTAGCAGTTTAACCCTTGGCCTTGACTTAGGGGATGCAGTTTGGGAGATGGGTGTAAAGGACATGACCAGGACTGGCAGTAACATCCCATCTAAGGTTGTTGTTGAAGTATGCAGATATACCTGTGGGTTTTGAATGAGCGTGTGGCTGCTTTGTTGCTGGCTAAGAACAAAAAGCTTCATGTAATAATGCTAGAAATGTGATGTAACTACCAAAGCCACTCCAGCTGGGGAATGCTTTCAAGAGCATATCGTTTCCTACGGAGAAACAGCAGTCCCTGTGCTTCCTGGGGTGGGGAAGGGAGCACAAGTGCTGCTACCTCAAATTTGAAGCTGTGATGAGAGAGGTATAATCAAGCCCCATCCCTGTAGTGGGGAAACAAGGGACTGCATCTCTACTCTGCCTCATCAGCCAAGTGCTAGATCAGGAATTGTTGAAGAACATAAAAGCCAAGTAGGTTCGTTACCGTTAGACTGCTGTGCTCATCTCTTCAGGGAGCTGATTTGTGGATTCCTTCATCTATCCTCTTATTTTTGTCCCTCATTAGTGGGCACCTGATAACCTTGTTGAACCCTGAGCCTAAGAAAGATGATTTTTGAGAAATGAACAATCAGTGGAAGGGAGCCAATTTATCATCTGAATTGAGGGTTAGAGAGGTGTCTGCTCCGCAGCATTGACAGTCAGGGTGCCGGTTCTGAAGCGAAGGGTCTCAGTGGTGAATATCCCATTGTGTGGGTGAGAACTGGACTCCAAATTTGTATTTATAATTGCCATTTCCAAGTCTGCTCTTTATTAAGGAAGCCCGATTTTATTTTATTTAAGAAGCATCAGATGATTGCTTTTAAAACAATCTCTTTTTTTTGAAATATGGGGGGAGAAAATCCCCCATCCTCCAAACAGAGAGAATGGAAAAAATATTAAGTTGATACAGGGTTCAAATGCCCTGTAATATATGGAGTGCTTTTCCTTCAAATGAAGTGGGAGACACGGGTTGAGTGTCTGTCTTTGTGACAGCACCAGAACTGGATCTGATAAATATGTTTATATGCCCCTTGCTGTTTTTTATCATCAATTAGGTTGTTTTTCCTCTCCCTTTTGTTGTTCAAAACTCTGCCCCTGGCATATTCAGCCTTTATTCTTCTCCCAATACGAATACTCACTGAACAAGAGCTGGCTTCCTGGTGTATTGTGCTGTCAAACCTTAAATGTATACAGAAATCCTTTTTTATCTTTTTTTTTTTTCCCTTTTCTCCTTCCTTTTTTTCCCCCCAAAAATGTGCTTTAGGATTATATGAACCAATGATTGACCTTGTGATTGACCTGAATGCTCTTAAATGAGCCAGCCCTACCTTGGAGTTCACTGTGCACATGACAGTAATGCCCCCCAAAAATGCTATTATCCTGTTCTTCCCAAATTCGTGTGCTTGTCCACTCAATTACTGCATCTTTGACACTGAGGCAGGGACTTGGGAAATTTATACCCCTTCAGTACATGCTGTTGTGTTTGAAAGCTCCTGAGTTAATTTTGAAGTGCCTGAGTCCCATCTAAAAAGAAGATTTGGATAAATATTCTTTAAAATTATTTTAGAGTGGGATTGTTAGAGCCTGTAGAGTCAGACCCTGAGTTACTAAATGGCAGAAGGTGAATAGATAGATAGATAAAACCTCTCTTGGAAGAGTGAGAACTAATTCCCTTATTTCTTTTGATTACAATTGACTATTTTGCTTTTTTAAATATTTTTAGTTGTAAGAACTAACGTTTGCAAGTGACTTACTTTGTTGTGACATGTTTCTTTGTTTTGTTACCATCTCGAAATAAAAGCAAAATTGATCTGAAAACTAAGCTTATTAAAATGATGTCTCTTTTGCCTAGGGGCCGAGGGATGCAGAGAGTGATGAGAATGACAAAGGGGATAAGAAAAATAAGGGCACATTTGATGGCGATAAATTAGGAGATCTGAAGGAGGAGGGGGATGTGATGGATAAAACAAATGGTTTGCCTGTGCAGAATGGAATCGACGCGGATGTCAAAGACTTCAGGTATGTGCAGTTAGTTAGTAATTAATCAGTGTCACACTTAACTTTTTTTTTTTTTGAAAGATTTTCCACACTGTAGTGAAAAAGCCTTTGACTCACTGAAACAGTGTCATGGGGATGTTATAATGTACACAGGGAAGCACTGTGAGAAGGTGGAGGATGACATCTGATAGCTCTCATCTGAGCAGACCTAGTTCTGGGTATTGTAATCTGGTTTTATTTCCACACCTGTTTTTAATCACTCAGTGTGGGATTCCTATGGAAATACCTACTGAGGATGTTGACTCTGCTTATAGACTAGTTTAAATTATACTTGGGGTTTTGGACTTGTTCCTCGTAGCTCTGAAGAGATTACATCCTTCTGAAATTGTAGCTATTGATGTAGTCAATATATTTGTATTTCTTGCTAGCTTGCCTACTTGGCTGTGCCTTGTGGTGGCATGTAGGAAAACTGTAAAAGAAAAGCAAATGTGCTGTGAAACAAAGAAAAACAAAACTGTTGGCTGGTGCATTGAGATGAACCTTTTCCCACTTAAGTCCAGTGCTTATGTTGGGTAATTTGGAAACCAGAAAGGTTTCAAGTGAGATACAGAACCAGGGCATTACATGGTTAATAATTACTGAATAGCTTTATGAGAAGATAACTTGGGCATTTCTGAAATCCTGTCTGGTTGAGGCTGACCCTTCCCTCAATTAAAGAGAAAAAAGAAACTGTATTTTTTTTACATTTTACTGTAACAGATCTTTGAGGCAGGGGGACTGGGGGCTTTGTGGGTGTTTATTTTGTTTGCTGTTTTAAATACATAAATTATTCTGTAGAATGAATTGAGGGAACTATTTCAGACCCTACTTTTATTTTTTTTTTTTCCCCTCTTTGTCACAACACCTACAAGCAGTTCTGGTGAGTACTGGTGTCTGTTGCTGTTAATCACAGCTGTGTGACACAGTGTTAAATGGACATGCTTAGTGACCAGTCTCTTTTCTTTCTGCGTAGCCGTACACCTGGTAATTGCCAGAACCCTGCTAGTGAAGTAGATCTTCTGGGTCCAAACCAGAATGGATCAGAGGGCTTAGCCCAGCTGGCGAGTACTAACGGTGCCAAGCCGGTGGAGGATTTCTCCAACATTGAGTCCCAGAGTGTCCCTCTGGATCCCATGGAGCACGTTGGCATGGAACCTCTTCAGTTTGATTATTCTGGCACTCAAGTACCTGTGGACTCGGCCGCAGCCACCGTGGGGCTCTTCGATTACAATTCCCAACAGCAGGTAAATTGTCGGCCGTTGGTCCTACCCTACTGCTCCAGTTCCTCCAGGAGAGTCATCACAGGGTTAGCGTGAGCTCAGGCTCTTGTCTTGGGGAGAGGGATGGAGGAAGACTCGGAATGGTTTCATCATCTCTATGCCATCTACAGAGTGCTGCATGTGTCCTCCTAGGGAGCTCGATGCAGGAGATCTACTTAACGTGACCATCTGAACAGCAGTCTTAAAGACCTGTAATAAACAGCAGTTATCAACAGCACGTTTCTGTGTGTTAATCATTTTTCCCTTGAGTAAGTTTGCATTGGAGAGAGAAGAGCTTTAAATTAGTAAAAACTGCTAAACAAACAAACAAAAAAAAAATCCAAAACCCCCCACTTTTGAACCCTTGAAGTGACTTAGAGCTCAGCCGGCTGTTCCGCCTCGGTGTTGCAGCCCTGCTCTGGGATTTTCATAAGGACAACTAATGGCAGAACAAGGGGAAATGGCTTTAAGCTGAAAGAGGGGAGGTTTAGATTAGATATTAGGAAGAAGTTTTTCCCTGTGAGGGTGGTGAGACAGTGTCCCAGGTTGGCCAGAGAAGCTGTGGCTGCTCCTCCCTGGAAGTGTTGAAGGCCAGACTGGATGAGGCTTTGAGCAACCTGGTCTAGTGGAAGGTGTCCCTGCTGCTGGCAGGGGGGTTGGGACTGGATGAGCTTTAAGTTCCCTTCCAACCCAAACCATTTGATGATTCTATGATCTCTGCAGTACCGAACCGGAGCAGACTGAAGGGATTATGAGTTTAAACTTGACTTGCTTGTACCTGGGCATGGTTTAAAACCTGAGGTCAGAGTCCAATACTACAAAACTTTATCTATCTCAGCCCCAGCCGGTTTGTTTGACCTTTTCTCCCACACAAGCGGCCCGTGCTTCTCATCCCGGACGAGTAACACAAGTCCTTGCTTTGCTGTTGGCTTCTCTTGAATGCTGGGCCTAGATCCAACCATCGACTCGTAATTCCACTCCTGTTCCTGCTAGTTTGGGGTAACGATTGTAAACTTTTATTGCCTTCCTTTTGTAACTATGATATCCCTCCAAGAAGAATAAAATCCTTTGTTGTAGCTGATTGCAAGAGTATATAACTAGCCCTGGGTTTCCTGAAATATCTGATCTTTTAGCAGAATAGCCTGTTGGCACTCTGGATTGAGGAAAGGCCGTTGTCAAGTTTGTGCTAAAGTCCCACCTTCAGGGAGTTATCGTAGTCTTAAAAGCAGTGTAAATATCTGTGTTACAGCTTAATCGGTTGGTTTATTATCTGGCATGCTCGGGAGGTTAATGACGGAAAGTTTTTTTAATGATTAAACTAAATAGCTGCTGTATAGTTCAAAAAGGGGAAAAAAAAAAAGCTAGTTTCAAGTTTTTGTCTTGCTCTGTAGTAGGACCTTGAATGTGAGAATTCCTTTCAGGCAACGAAAGGTGTGTATTTTTTTTTTTTTAAAAAACAGTGTGTTGGAGCTAAATAAGAGAAGTGCTTTTAAATAACTGCAGGAATGTGAAGAATGTAATTTGCATTTTGTCAGTGTTTTCTGTTTACATTCAGGCTTATTAACAAGTTCAAGTAGTTTTTATTTGTTTCTCCCAGATTTTTTTTTTTTTTAATTATTTAAAATTGGGCAGGTCTTGCACCCAGCTAGTAGAAATAAAAACTCTCACAGTAAGACTGACCTGGAGAGCGTGCCGCTTTCAGAAGTGACTGCAGCACGGGGCTCTGCCTCTGGATGACCCTGCAGACAGGCCTGGCATTTGTCATATTTTTTTAAATTATTTTTTTTTCCCCTTTTTGTATAAAGTGGATGGGTAATATCCACGTTGAACTGATGGCATCTCCAAGTAATCATGTTTCAAACTCTCAGCTAGGTGGCCTGTAAAGCTGCAGTTCTCTCTCGTCTCTTTGAACTGTGGATTTTGGAGGGGAGCAGGAGCACGGCTGCCTGCCCACCCATTGCTCTGGCACGCTTAGCTCCCACCCAGGTCAGGCTGAGAATAAGGACTGGTTTATTTTAAAGTTTCAGCTTTGTTGCAATAGCTACTTACACCTACAGTAGATGCAGACGACAGCCTCGTGTAAAGGACTCACTCTTGTGACAGATGTGACCTCTCAGTGCACATCTGTGTAAATGCCATGTGTATCTTTGCTCGGAGTTGTACCCATTTTCTTAATATCTTATATCCAGCAGCCAGTGTTTCTTGGTATTTGCTGTCTGCCAGTTATAACCTCGATGAAAGAAATCTCTCTTTTGGCACTACAGACTTTCCCATTCAGTTGTCAGAAGGAAAATATGTCCCGAACAAAAAGATCTCATTTGTAAAAGTGTCTTCCTCGGCCCGTTGGGAAGCGTCATGTACTCTGAAGGGATTACCAGCAAGTACAGTTAAAAGCAGTATTAAGAAGGGAAGGTCTTAAGCACATGTAATCTGATTAGAGATGTCAGATGTTTATATTGCAGAAGAAACTGGCTTACAGAAATCTAATCTTCCAGTGTTCCCATAACTGTTTAATACAGATGGTGATGTTCTGGTTTCTTGGAATTCCCTCGATAAACTCCCCCCACGCGTTGTAAATGATGATTCACTGGTGTGCACGTGTGAGAGAGGAGAACAGCCTTGTTTTTGGAAATGTTGGGTGATCCTACTGAACTCCTAAGCAACTGTGTCAGTCGTTTGTAGGTTTTCACTCTGAATGTGATTTCGAATAGGCTAAAATGCCCCATGCCTACATTTTTATAACTTCAGCCTAATTTTTGTAAGTAACTTTTAATACTCCTGTTTCTTTTCCTTTTTCCACTTACTGGAGAACCACCATTTAAGACCGATACATAATTTAACTTTATTTTCCTATCCAGTAGGATTCCAAATAAGATTACAAAAAGCTACCTCCCTGGAAATATTCCAGGCCAGGTTGGATGAAGCTTTGAGCAACTTGGTCTAGGGGAAGGTGTCCCTGCTGCTGGCAGGGGGGTTGGGACTGGATGAGCTTTAAGGTCCCTCCCAACCCAAACCAGTCTGGGATTCTGTTATTGGAGTTTTTACTTTTTACTGTTTTTTGGAACATAGGTCTTTGCTGTCAGCAGATGGAGACAGTGCATTGAGGCTTTAATAACTCCTCTTAAATACATAGAGTTGGTGATTCCCAGAGCTCAGGTGGTGCAGGGGCATGTCTGGTTAGGTAAAGCCTGAAACTGCGATCGTTTTTGTTGGCTCCGCTTCCTTGTGTATGTTACAGGCAGTAAGAAATCTGCACCTGCACAAAGTTCTAGCTGTTCACACTGAGTTTCTTCCAGGTAAGCTGAGTTTAGAGACCGGGTTTGCAGGCTTGCAGAAACCACTGTTTGAAGCGGGCAGAGGGAGAGATTGCTGGTTTGAGTCAGTGCCCGAGTGCATGGCTTAGATACAAACATTTATTTGATCTTTTTTTGGAAGGGAAATTCATAAAGATTTGAGAGGACATCATAGAATCCCAGGCTGGTTTTGGTTGGG